AGAGAATTTTACGGAAATTATTGCTAAATAAGATTATTATTAGAAAAAATTATTATTTTTTTTATTATTATTATGTCTGTAATCTCCAAGTTAATAATTTTTATTTGTGAGACTGGTTCCAGGCTCCAATGAAATCGGTACTTTAAAACACGGGTAAGCTTGGCTTAGACAGGCTTGGACGCGTGTTATGAAATATTACGTCATATGTAGAAATAAATCATGCATGTTACATTTGTTTTTCAGTTGCGCATATGATATGAGAGATAGTAAGTGATCGATCCAGGTTTCTTCTTAGGCAGTGTACTGATGGCTTTTTCCTTTACTGGGGAGGAGAATTCCTCTTTAATGCCCCTATATGCTCCATTTGGACATATTCCAAATGAACTCGACTCAACATCTCGCTCCGAACTCGTGGAAGAGTTGAAAGGCTATGATGAAGATTTTGATCCGCCATTAGAAAAAAAGCACAAGTGTTCCATTTGTCATCTAGGGCTTCGAGAACCAGTCCAGACGGAGTGTGGTCACAGATTGTGTAGGAAATGTCTCGAACCCCTTATGAGGTAATACACCGGGAACTGTTTACAAAACATTTACGCAGTACATTTATGTATCTAGAGGTACAGCAAGACGGTATGACTCAAATCAAAACCTTCATAAAGTTCAACGTCTTTACCTCAAACCCTGAACGTTGTGATTTTAGTCGATGATCGATGCGTTTTATGAATCGAGTTTAATTTGACTTGTTGAGAAGACTATTAGGAACGTTAAGAACTCGATCGTTTGGCCAGGCATTAAAGCAAAGCTTCAGTCGAAATTTTGGTGCGAACAACAACCAAAGGAACCTTTTTCGGAGATACTTGCCTAGTTACAAATGGTTTTAATTAAAAAGAGGAGTCATTGGTCACTGCATCTATCCATTCAACTGCGATAGCGACGATTAAGAGAAAATGTAAAGGAATCTCGCCGAGAGCGAAAAAAGCAAGCAGTGAAGTCTGGTTAGACCCCGAACGTGCATGGGTTACGAGCACGCGAAATTATGCCAATTTCTTTCATTTGCAGCTTCTGCTTTAGTGATACAGAGAGTTTGACAGTCGTTTCCAACTGTTCTAAACTTCAGTTATCAGATGCGTAAATAGTGTCGCTTGGAACTTTGACCATTCTGTACTAACACTAAGTCATAGTTTATAGCAGTTCGCGTTATTCTTAAAGAATATCCCCTCAACTAAGACAGCATGCTTCTTTCAAGCCGAGTTGTGTAATTTAGATTCAGCTGCACCCATATATTTGCAGATCGTGGTATAATTATAATTTTTGGTTAATTGAAAGGAAAATAAAACGTCATTGAAAGTATGCAGTTTTAAAAGTTTACATATTGTTTTATCCTAAATATTCATTTCAAATCATAAGATATAAGTAAGTAAGTAAGTAATTTTATTTTAACCACATATCGCATATGAGCTTATAGCT